GGGGAAACTTCAGCGGAAAGAAAAAACTTAAGCTTGTTGGGGTAGCTAAAGTTAGTTGAAAATTTTGTTGTTTTCCCTTGTTAGGACAACTCACATCGGCCAAGGGTTGTTCCAGACGAGCAGAAACCTTTCGAATTACGTCTGAACATGTAAGTCGACCATAACTGAATAATTCCTCACATATTGCTTCAGCTAGTCCTCCGTATAGCGTTTTCACTATGAGACAACATCTACAAAACACTTTCTTAGTTAAAATTTGCCGAGTAAGTCTTATGGAAAGACTACCTTGGAGCCTTGGAGAACGCCAGAATTGCTTTTCTATCAACAGAATAGTTCAATCTCGTCGAAGAATCCATTTTGAAAGTTACGACTGCGTGCTGAATAAGAATTGCCAGCGATTTTCTCACCTGAAAATTTGCCGTGCTTTACTAATGCATTAAAGCATCAGATAGCAATTTTTCCTCTAATCTCAGAGCAGCTGATCCTCGAAATGTTGAACAGTATCTATCGCAATTGCCCTTGGTTTTGCACCTTACCTCATGAATTACGGAAGCTAGTCACTTCGCCATGGAAGAGGGACAAGTAGGGGTTTCTCTCAAAGATTGCTTTAGATCGCACCTAACAACTTTGGAGTGAGATGGCTCTAACAGTAAAAGCTAGTTCGTTCACCAGCGCAGCCGTATTTTCTAACTACCTCCAACTTCTTCAGATCGCCTTCATCCCCCGAAGTTGAACAAAGTGCGAAAGGAAAAATATATGTGTCGGTCTGGCGCAGAGATTTCGCTGAAGAAAAAATTAGAAACCAATTACCAAATGACCTCTCCAATTCTAGTATCTCCACAGGCATCATCGATAAGACGATCTAATGCTTATTACGCAGGATTCTCTGATTTTCACATTTCTCCAGCACTGATTCGCATTCTAATTTTATTTCTTAGAACAGCCGGCTCACCGGCTAACGCCGCGGTCCTACCTTCTGAATACGGCCCGGCTGCGCCGGGCAGGCGCGGCTTCGCCGCGCTTATTTTCTTTCACATATTTCTACACTCAACTGATATCCACCTTTTGTTCTGTACTCCACTTTTTTCCCGTGTCTGAAGTACTCTTGAGCTACTTTTACAGATTCTTCGTCTGACTCCGCCCACCTCGGAGCAGGCTCCGCCCCCAATTTTGTGCCCCACAATCCTCACCGGCGACCCTCTGCTGACCTTAATCCACGTTTTTTTTCGGTCTTTGAAGTGCTCTGGGACAGTTTTAGAGACTTCGGCTTCTGGCCTCCGCCCACGGTCGGCTGGCCCCGCCCACATGATGCGCACATTCCAACCAATCGCGACCCAATGCTGACCTGAATGTCAACTTTAATTCGGTCTTCGAGTGCTCTGGGAACAGTTTTTTCGTCTGACTCCGCCCATCTTCGGGCTGGATCCGCCCCCATTTTGTGCCCCACAATCTTCACCGACGACCCTCTGCTGACCTTAATCCACTTTATTTCCGGTCTTCGGAGTGCTCTGGGACCGTTTTGCCGATCTTTTGTCTGACTCCGCCCACCTCGGGCTGGCTCCGCGCCCACAATTTTTTTGCCCCACAATCCCCACCGGCGACCCTCTGCTGACCTTAGACCACTTTTTTCCGGTGTCTGGAGTGTTCTGGAACCGAGCTACAAACTTTTGAAATGATTACCCTGCGATTAAGGGCAAGCTCCGCCCACTGTGGGCGGGTCTCAACACACTTTGAGCGTGCCCTATATTCGCCAGATATTTACATTCTACACTGAGTTTTTTGCGACTTCCAAACACTCTCGCGAACAGGGTTACTGAATTTTGCGAGAAGCACCGCCCACCATGAGTACGCCCCGCCCATTTTGGACGTGTCTTCCACAGTTAGTCTGGCGACTCCTTACTAACCTTATTCCCTTTTCCCCATCTTTACGCTGCTTCCGAAGCGAATTATGATTACTTTTCTGCGGAGCCCCAAACTTTCGGCGAGTGCCCCGCCCACTGTGGGCGGGCTTCCCATAGGTCAAGTGTGCTTTTTATTTCTTGTCCCATGCCCTACCCATCCCCACCTTGACCCGACCTCTCAAGTCGTTCTTATGACAAGGTCGAAACCAGAATTTCCGGACAGACGAACTGTTACAAAACAAAAACAAACAGACGAAGAATTATATGTATGGGGTGATTTTCTTGATATTCTACTCCTCCTAACTCTGTGATTCTGCGAACTTCAAGCACGGAAGGCATGGACGTGTCAGAAGACTTACGCGAACATTATCCGAAATCAAGGTTGCCAGTGAATTTGGCAAAATACGACCCCCCCTCAGAAGTTTCCCATTTGATACCCTCTCACCCTCCAACCGCCCTCACATACCATCTTCCTAAATTTTTTCCAAACGTCTACCTTTCTTTGGTATTTTTTTTTTTGAAAAATTCCTCCTCTCCATCCATTTTTTTCCCAAAAAAGACTGTCGTCAAACGGGAAAGGGATGAGACGACACTATTGCGCACTTGAAACAAGAGTGCCTAAAAACATCGCTGATTTCGACTGCAGAAAGATCCCACTACGTACAGCCTGTCCTGAAAATGGTAGCCAGCGAGAAACTTGAATACCCGCGCCGCCCCGAAATCTCGCGGAGCAATAAGCGCGAACAATGACTAGATCTTGGAAAGTCCTGAAACAACTTCAACAACTCACTTGGCCGTCCCAAAACTTTTCTTCAAGTTCGAGAAGTGAGAAAAAAAAAAGAAAAAAAACAATCATCAAATAGTCACCCGCGTTGAACTTCACGTTTGTCCTTATAAGACGATACCTATATATGGATAGGGAGTGGTCGCCAGGCTCTGCCAGCACTGTTGGCGTGGATTACGAGTGCCACTGTTTTGCCAAAATGCTCCTCAATGAGCACCTGACAGAGCTCGGTCTCAAAGTGCCCCGCCATGTCAGGTTGGCTAGGAAGATTCAACCCTGAAATTACTACTTCGTTATTAATTATTATTACTGATTTCAGGAGACATTGAATTGTCTGCGAATGCGTCAGAATATCTTCAATAAAATGGGCCTTTTGGCACACAAGCTAATTTCTGACATTTATTCAATCATGCACTGATAGGGAACCATGAAAAACAAACAATTCAACAGAACTAACAACAAAAAATCAAATCAACAATGTATAATAGTTTATAAACAGCTTTCATATATCATGCATGTCACGTCCTTCTCTTGATAGCCTTATTCTGAAAACAACAGTGTAGCATTAGATACCTAGAAACTAGCAACAGTCAAAGTCACCTTCGATTTCAGCTTCATCTTCTGGCTTTTCTTCCTATCAAATCGCGACTTTTTACCTTTCGGTCCTCCAATTGGACCACCTTTCCTAAATTCAGACTTACTATGAGACACAATTCAAGTTAGTCAATTTTAATAAACTTGTCCAGTAATATCACACCGCGAATTACAGATTTTGTTCGCTGCGGATGCAGGGGCGTATCAGGGGGACAGCTGGGTTGGGGAGCGACACCGCCCCGTTCTCCACCAATGTTGTATGCTAGCAAGCGACCACAAAAGGTGAAAACGAGCTGGCGCCAATAATGAGGACAGAAGAAACAAGAAAGAAGGAAGTGGGTGAAAAGGGAGAAGGTGGTTCGTTTCGCCTCTTGATCAGACGAGCCATTGTTTAGCGTGAGCGTTGAGGCTTATCAGTTATCAGTGACTATAAGTAACCAGGGGACCAGGTGACTGAGGGCAAACGCGCTCAATCCGTGGCAGTATCCTCCCCAGTATCCACAGCTAACAACACTATAAACGAGCAAGTACAAATTCTTAAGAAAATTTCCACGGAATTAGAAAGCTTGCTCCATTGAGGCCGAGTTCGCGATCCCGAAAGATCGCAGACAAAGGATTTGATGGGAAAAGGGTTTATGAAGAAGCCGCTATTAGGGGATTTACGCGATTTGCTAATGGACGGAGTAATCTATTTCCATCTAGTGCTTTGATAGAGGACCTTCACACTAGCGGACCCCCTTAGTCCCGGTACTTTATAAGGAACCCTTCATAATTCACGTCGGCGTCTTGAGCCTACGCCAGCGTTTTGAGCGCGAGCAATGTATAGGTATCGATCCAGAGCTCTCAGCGTACGTCAGCATTTTGAGCATCTGAGCATCCTGAGCATTTTGAGTGACTAGATAGGCATGGATACCGATCTAGCATTCTAAGCATTCCGCTCAAAACACTCTGACGCTCGGGGATCGACGCCTATGGGGATCGACGGCCTATGCTTTCCTTGTCGCTCAAGACGCTAACGCAAACTATGAGCGCCTTCTAATGAGTGTTTCCCTTTGCCATCGATCACTTTCATGAACGTCAGTGAAAGGGCTAGGAGTTCGTATGGAATTCCAAAAAATTTCTAGAAAAAAGATAAAACGACGTTATATCAACAAAACTCGAACTACTTGTATTCACCTTTTCTTATTGGAAAGAGCTTCTCCAGACTCATCACGCATCATGTAGTTTCCGAAATTGAACAAATCATCCATGGCATTGTCGCGATTCAAGCGTTGTTCTCGTTTCTTCTCAGCCTTACTCATCCGCAAACGGACAAAATGATCCTCCTCATATCTGAACAAAATTTGAAAACTTCAGATAGCAAAGTGACGTCTAACGGTGTTCACGTACCTTTCCCTCTCTTTGTCAGCATTGAACTTTCGCTGACTCTTCTCCTTAAAGATGCTTTACAATCCAACGTGGAAAAACATCGAAAAGAAATCATAAATGGTGGAACAATTTTGGGCCCTTCAGCTCATGGGCAGTGGGGGGGACATGATGTAATTCATTCTCATAGTTCCTGTTATACTACACGTCTCACCTAAGTAAGACTAGTATACTCTGATCAAATGTAAACGAAGCCCATGCTGTTGCTGTGGCTTTGTAAGAATTTACAGGTCCATACAGGGATGCCCCCACCAAACCAGGTTGCTTCCGATTTTGTTAGACTGCTTTCTTACTTTGCATTCGCCAACGAACGGCAGCATTTTGAGCGCACGTTAGCTTCAGAGAATAGAAAAGTATAGGTATCGATCTACGGGCCAGCGCTTCGAGCGACTAGGAAAGCATAGATATCGATTTAATGTTCCAGCGTACGTCATCGTCTACCAGGATCGGAGAGTATGGGGAAGTAGGAGGGTAGCAGACTGCTGGATTAGGCGTTGTGAAATTGCGGCGTGTGCAACCGCACCGTACAACTGCTAAAGCACAGAATTATGCAGTCCTGATGTACGGTGTAGTGCAGTTGTACGATGAGGTCGCCGTCATTCACAACGCGAGTCTGCTACCCTCCAACTTCTCCATACTCTCCACTCCTGGTGGACGCTCGCGTACGTAGACATACGCTAGATTGACACCTACCCTCTCCTAGTCGCTGGTGTCGGCGTATCGAAACGCTAAAAACGTTGCCGCAGGCTCACGCAAGGTATAAACGCAACCTTGCGTCAAAGAAAAATGAACAGAAAACCAGCCTTCACATAGCATTAAAAGTTAGTATGAAAACGGGACAAACAGAAAGAGAAGAAACTGTAGAAGGAAGAAAATGAAGAAAAGGCGCACTCTAAACTCCTCTGGGGCGTCACTGTATTGTTGCCTGAGTTCCTGGACGAGACTGCTTTGAAGTGCACGCCTCTTCGCTTTTTCCATAGCTTTTGCTTCCCGGCCCATCCTCGTCTTCTGTAAAATTCATCCTAATGGGAGATTATAAGAAGACTCGAAGCAAAAACCACTACGCCCTTATGGTTCAAAACAACTGAACCAGAAGCAAAACAACAACAACAAACAGCAATAACGAAATGAACAGTTCAGTAATGGCTCGCAAACAAAAGAAATGGATAGCGTGGTATGAGCGTTCTAGTAGTCAGTTTAAACTGTTACAGAAGGACGAAAGGAAGTCCAGTAAGTGGTACGGTACCTTCGTATCTAACCGCCATCATCTTTGGTGGAACATATTTCTTTGGCTTCTTATTATCTTCCTCGTTATCTTGATCTTCTTCTGACTCCTCATTATCGTCATCAAACTGAATAAAGCTACTTTTTTTTATTTTGTTGCCTAACACATTCATTGACGAGCAGGATCTGCTCAATGAAAAATTAATATGAGCACTCGCTAAAACTATTGGCCATTTCAAAGAAACTAATGAAGGTCCAATGAAAGCGGTATGGTGAAAAGCTACCTCCATTTGATCCGGTCTGGCACGCAAAGAGGCTTTTGCTTCACCATTATTGAGGCTCTGTAATCTCAACTTTGAATAGGATTTCATTTTTGAACAAACAAGGGAAATCATGACCTGAACGAGCTTATCTATCTGAGATCTCATTTTCTGCTCTATTGGTCGTATCCGCTCAAGGATCTAAACAGATGTGTTTACAGGCAGGCACAAAAGCTGAACAAACAAATACCTAAAGATACCAGCATATCATTCCGAAGATGTAAAAGCAACCTATAGGAGCAGAACAAATTTATCGAGTCGAGGACACAGCCGACGATTAGCTAGATTCCTTTCTATGCATAATATAAAAAACCTGGCAATCGCACAAGTTATGCCACATCCGCCACTTGAGAGGGCGTGGTAAAGGTGTTTGGCGCACGTGTCCAGGGGTTGTTGACGCAACCTCAAGACCCAATATTCCCCTTTGCATAGGCCGCAAGGAGTATACCAGTCACACTTGTCTGCGTACTCGTAACTTTATTTACGGTGTAAATGTCGGTCTCAAGGCACGCCCTATCGTCGAGGAAAATTTCTGTAATAGACGACCCTCTTCAAAAGTTCCTCCTCTAGTGCAAGCTCTCCCCTTCTCTTTTTCCCGTCCTTTCTGCCATCTTCCGAAATTTTCCCAAATTTCTACCATTTTCCCCAGTTATGAAAAACACAAGTCCCCCAAAATAAAAAAAACCTTGCTGTTGAGCGGGATGGATGGGGTGGAAGTTGGGGGATATACTGCACTCGAAACAGAAAAAAAGCCGGGCAACCAAGTAGGACCTCTCTCGCTCATGATATCCGACGTAGAACATGCTCTGGTGCTCAGTGTGTCTCTCACTTCATGCTCACAACTATCGAAAATGAACGCCTTGGTCAAGGATTTTTCGTTTCTATGCTTAGATTTCACTAATAAATTATTCGGTGTCCACAAGATTTATGTCTTGAATCTGGTAACCACGCTTTGGTGCGCTTCTCACAGCTAGAAGATGGGCAGGAGCTAGAAGAGGGAGCGTGCTGAAAAATGCTATCCTATCAGAACCCTAACACGTTCGAAAATTAGGGAAGGCTTATTCAAAACGGATGGGGATGGTTATTGTGAACCGTGTAAAACTTGTACTGTAGCTTTAATCACGGCTATATCCCAGTTCTCCCCATACGAGTCAATATGTTGACAGCATGTTGCTACACTCCTTATCCCTGAGCCAGAGTAGGCGTGGCATTTGAACATGGCACGGAACTGGTTACTCGTGGAATATTCCAGTCTGGGACAACTGTCATCTTGTTCTGTGTTGGACAGAGACACGACAACAATTGTGTCGATGAAAATATCTCACCACAAGCATAGACACCTCCACGTTAAGTTGAAGCATGCGGCCACGCCTACCCGATCTCAGAGATTTCGAGTATACATGGAATCGATTAATAATTAAAACTGAAGCATTATTGTATAAGAGAATAAAAAGTAATTAGCTCAATACTAGCTAAAATAGCAACTTGCCGTTCTATGCTTGGAAGCTCGATATACAGCAGGATGATCTTTAATGGATCTCCCGCAGCTCATTTGGCTCATCAGTAGCGACAACTCAGCCATATAGCACAGCATTTCACGATTCTTCACATCCAACAAGCTGATGCCCTAGAAAGTAAAACTAGGTATTGTTAACACGTAAAGAAGCGTTAAGAGATAAAATACGTAAGAATGATTGAACACTATTCTGCAACTATACCTCAGTAAGGTAGAACAACTTCTCACTAAAACTTCAGGTGAATTGATAATCGAATGCCCGAGTCACGAAACGAACATACAACTCTTGCGACTGCACCTTCAATTTTGTTGCGAATGGTGCCATCCCAGGAGATGAACGCTATATTCGTGATAGGGACGCTCAGTTCCAAAGTTGCAGCGAGAACTTTTTCTTCAGTGGCTAACACATATCTCAAGACATCAACGAAAGTAGGCTAACAAATAAACTCTGAGAAAACGCACCTCTTTGCCTGTTTCAGCATTTTTCAGAACACCGATAAACTTTTCAGCGTTTTCAAGCGCCTCCTTAGACGTTTTCGCGCACTCGCGCGCAACCTGCGCGAATCTCGCAGCGGTTGCTTCATCAACCATATGGTGATCTGAATGTAATGGGATCAAAGAGCACAGCCTGATCTAGTTTGGAGACACGTGGACGTGGATGGAAAATACCAGTCATTGGAAGGTCAATGCGGCCACCAATCACAGGCCACTTGCACGCCCTATCTCTAGCGTTTTCGAAGGGGCATTACTCCCACATGATAGAGCATATTTCCGTGAGCAAAACCGGGACTATGGGAATAAAGATTTTTGCTCACGCCCAAGAAACAATGTTGGGGAATCAGCGCCCAGATGAAACGATCCCCTTGTCCAGAAGGGAGTTTTGCACCACTTTAGGCCTAATAGCATGTTCACGCTTGCGCTCGCGCGATCGGATCCGCGACTAGAGCGCGGTCCAGACTTCGCGATCGGCGCGATCCATTTCGCGCGAAAGGGATCGCGCGATAGCGAATGTCTGAACGTTGTCTTAGGCTGTGTGCACGTGGCCCAATTTGAACTGTGTCGTTGCGACGTTGCACCGTTTGGCAGTGGAGCATCCCCAGTCAAGATCGCTCAACTGGATCGCGCGATCCACATTCGAGCGATCGCTAAGCATGAACGCGCTCCAACTTTTAGAGGGAGTGATGTAAATATCCCTTAGGATTATGGACGTACTTTCTTGAATTAGAGAGCAGCTATTTAGCTCTATTTAATGCAATATAGGAATACGGGACCGAGCTTCCAGTGTATTTACTTATTCAAAAAGAACTACAGTTAAAAATTTCATTCGATATTCCAGGCAACACACTTTATATACAAAAAAACTGGATACTAGGTACAATATACAATGGTGTCACTATCTAAAACTATCTAATACCCGTAACACAGAATAAACAAAATCAGAAAACCTATGCTAATCTGTGATGATTCAAGTTGAACTTGATGACGAAGACGGTACATCGCTAGCAGTCTTTTTACCTCCACTCGTGTAGGCGACAAACATTTCTTTTAGGAAAGATAGCTCTTTTTGTAGAGATTCAACCTATAAGCAGTTAGCATTGAGCGAGAATGAGCAAATGTGAGCAGGAGTAGACAACTAGCCGCATGCGGCTATTGCCGGCCTTGTTGCTTGGTACTACGGCGCATTGCGTGTTTGCGAGCTTTGTTCTGCGCGGTGGTGACAGGAAGCCTATGAAGCCCTGAGTGCTCTTTTAGCCTCATTCAGGTGCTATTGTGCAATAGAATTCGTATTCGCACGTCCAGCTTCGTGTGGCGACGTCGCACCTGCTAATGACGACGATTTTAGATGGTATTGGTTGAGAATAAAGAATGTATGGCCAAAAGTAGGCATAAGTGTCTACCATGTCCTTGTAAACATGAAATCCGATGCATAGAATGGGTAGTGCAAATTAAGGAAACGTTGTACCCGTCGCCGCGCAATGAAGAGGCAACGTACGACTCTCGCCCGTCTTCCTAGGATCAGTATCGTTGGAGGTGGAAGTGCTGCGCATTTTAAAGCTCTACGTACGTTTCCTGATTATTGCTAATACCAGAGGACAAATGAAATGTATTGCGTGCTATTAACGCTTAACTGTGGCAGCAGATTCTTCCTCACAAAAGGTTGAACGCTGGGTGAGTTTCTTCCCTTTCCTGTTTCGCTTTTTTTTCTTAAGATTACCCACAGAATACTTGTATCACCAGGAAAGCTGGAAATATTTTAGGCTTCCGAAGGAGATGTTCTAGCCGGAACGTCAGGCCATATCAATACCGGTGATATCGCAGCTGACAGGTGTGATAGAATATGTAGTATGATGTGTCAGGATACCTCAAGTACGAATTTCCCCAGTACGTTTACCGCCACGAACTCCACGAACTGCCATCACCAAGGCTTCAGCAAATAACCTCGAATAATAGAAAGGGGCGCAATTTGGCAACGGGGGAGGGGCATTCTGCGCTCTCGCAGATCCGGTTTACATGTCTTACTTGGTGAAACCTATGGGTTGCTGTGAAGCGGAGTAAGGCCGTCGAACCATCATGTTAAAACTTGTCAACTCCTGTAAGCTCATGAAACAGCTCCCCAGATGGGGCGGGTCGACACGTCGATCGGAAGTAGCAAAAATGCAAAATGCCCTCCCCGTCGCCGAGTTGCCCCCCCCCCACAAATAATACAAACATCCGAATATTTAGTTATTTCTGCCAAACGAGGTTATTAGATAGAACCTTTTTATTGGCCCGACGTTTCGACCTTCTCGTCTTCTTCAGAGGCCTGAAAATGGCTCGAAGCTTTCAATTTGTCACCTACCCGATCAAGCGCCTTCCCCACTCTAGCGTTTCCGACGTCGTGTCCCGAACACCCCCGAAGAACCCAGTAATAACTGCGCTCAACTCACCGAGGTTCCACCGTGCGGAGCCTAGCTCACGCTATGTGTCAGTAGTGTAAGTAAGGACGAATGAGTATGAGTTATTGCTGGGTTCTTCGGGGTGTTCGGTACACGACGTCGGAAACGCTAGGGTGGGGAAAGCGCTTGATCGGGTAGAGGTGACAAATTGATAGCTTCGAGCCATTTTCAGGCCTATGAAGAAGACGAGGTTCGAAACGTCGGGCAATAAAAAGGTTCTATCTAGTGAACCTCGTTTGGCAGAATAACTAAATATTCGACACCATGCCGAGGTTACAAGAAGGGAGAACTTGGAGAATACAAACAGCATTTAACATTAACGTGTTCGATTGCAGACTTATGTGGGACTAACGCTTGATCTATGACAAACTGAAACCAATAACTACCTGTCTTTCGAGCTTTTCGTTCTCTGCTCTGAGTTCCTCGACCTTTTTTGCAGTCTCTGTTTCTTCTTGTCGCTTCTTTTCACGGGTCCTTAAATTGTAGGTTACCAGGAGACGCAAAAATTTATGAATTATGGCATCACGTCGAGAATCATTAATACTGTGCACGAAGAAAGGACTCACCGATTGACTGCTTCATTATTTCGCCGCCTTTTTTCTTCGTAATCTGCATCTTTTTCCGCTTGGGGAGATCGTACACCATTTCTCTTACGTCCCGCCATGGCTACTCGATCTGAATACTGAATAACCCAAATTTTGGAATAGTGTTACAAACCACCTCACATATTAAGCAGTAATAACTCTAAAAAGAAGACCCAAATAGGAAAAAACAGTGCCGCAATATCGCGTCAAGAACCCATTGACCTCGTACTTTGCCAGCTACCGTAGTCCTGTAAAAGGGCTGTCACATGAAGGCATTTGTGTGAATTTGTTTGCCAAGTACACTTTTAAGGACTAGATTAGAGAGGGCCAATTAGGGGACTACTCTCCCCTGTAGCCTTCCTCAAAAATGCCTAGAGCGCGTACAACCAGAGTGCCAAGAGATGGTTCCGCCGAAAATGACAGTACCCACAAACCTGCGCCGTGATCAGGGGAAGTGTAGGGAGGCACAAGCTGCTATGCGCCCACTCATCTGGAACTTAGGGGTGTCTCAAGGAACCATGTTCGAGAGGAAAGAGGGCTCAACCGTCTCCAAGGAGATGCCTTCTAACGGTCACACAAAGATTTGTTTCTAGTCACTGTCCCAACTTGCTCAGACCACGAACTCGGTGAACTCTTTATTCGGTCTTTCTCGCTGTAGACGTTGGGGCGCGTCAGGAGGCTAGGTTTGTGAACGTAACGCGACCTGTTCTCACCAGGTGCTGTCGCATGCCTGCTTCGGCGACGGGTCGAGAACAGGCTGACACCGCGCCAAACCCGCACCCCTCCCGTGGTTCACCCCAGCCTCTCCAGCTTGAAAGGACGACTAAGTTATCACAAGAATGCTGAGTTGTGGGCAAAAGTCGTGCCCAGGCGGGAGTCGAACCCGCACCTCACGCTTTCCGGGCGAGTGCGCTATCCGTTACGCCACCAGGGCCGCTTTTACCCTCTCAGCTTAACGGCTTTTATGCCGTAGCCTATCAGCACTCACACGTTTAACTTGGTGAGCCGGTCAGCCGTAATCGATGGGATATCGGCATGAAACCGCGAGGCCTAAGGCTTTAGATGTTTTTGAAGCTGTTTTGTTATGATAACTGCTGTTTAACGCCGCAGTACGCGTTCCGAATGTTATCACAAGAATGCTGAGTGGGCAAAAGTCGTGCCCCAGGCGGGAGTCGAACCCGCACCTCACGCTTTCCGGGCGAGTGCGCTATCCGTTACGCCACCAGGGCCGCTTTTACCCTCTCAGCTTAACGGCTTATGCCGTAGCCTATCAGCACTCACACGTTTAACTTGGTGAGCCGGTCAGCCGTAATCGATGGATATCGGCATGAAACCGCGAGGCCTAAAGGCTTTAGATTCGACTCCCGCCTGGGGCACGACTTTTGCCCACAACTCAGCATTCTTGTGATAACATTCGGAACGCGTACTGCGGCGTTAAACAGCAGTTATCATAACAAAACACTGTACTACAGATCGAATGCCTATAAGCGGCTTTTGATGTCGCTTTAGATGGCTTTAGATGATGCGCTAATACCGTATATCGGAACTGGAGGGACTCCCAAAATAGTGAGTCGCACTGCAGTGCATTAGAAGCAAATGAACTCTGACTCGGTCCTGTCACTTTTTTTCGTGCATGTCTTTCGTTATAAACTGATAACATGAGACTGCTGAGGCAGCTGAAAAAACGGTTGTAAAGTGGACGATAAGGAGTGATCTAAGATCGACTCTCCAATAGTTTTTGCTTGACAAGATTGCTAATATTCTTGGCATGTGCTCAAACTGAGCGACTTTCGATTTACATTTCTACCGAGAGCTTTTCGATCTGGACACAGTGATGTGGCACAAGAAAGGCGAATCTTTGCTTCCAAGGAGAGGTTGTGCAACGCTGCTCGAAAGTCATGACTGGGGTGTGCCAAGGCGGTCCGTCGCCGGAGCAACCCCACCCACCAGTTGGCAGCCGCGCCCAGGGACTAGTGGCCTTCCGCTCCTATCCAAGCATTGAACATCTCGCTTATCTTTCTGTTCTGTTGTGCTTTTTACCTTTCTCTCCCGGCGGTCACCACTTGCACCCACGTGACGAAAACATGAGTTTTCACAAAAATGCACTTGGCCAGTGGAGAAGCAAAACCACTATAATGCGGGTGTGTGACAGGACTCACCACCGCGCTTGAAACTAGGTCACCGCGCGCAGCGAATGGTCCCCATCTTCCATCTGCGCAAGAACGTGTTCAAGCAGGTATACCAAAAATCCTCGAGATGCGGTAGGCGTGGCTGCGTACCTGTATTGGACGTGGTGGCAGCTAAGCTTTTCTTGAGGTATTTTCATTTTGGGACAGCTGTAATCATGTCTTTGTCCAACACAGAACAAGATGGCAGTTGTCTCAAACTGAAATATCCACGAGTAACCCATCCTATGCCATGTCCAAATGCCACGCCTACTCCGTCTCAGGGATAAGCAGTGTAAACATGTTCAAACATGCAAACACGTTAAAGCATGTAATCGCCGCGCGCGGCGACCAGCTTCCAGCGCGGCGGTGACTCCTGGCCGTCTCCCCTATATGGCTACTATTTATGCTATTTCATTTAAGAGGACCTCTCCCACCAGTTTTTCAGGGATAGCTAGCGAAAATTGGAAAACCGTCTGAGATTCGAAAGAATTTGGTATGTGGAATGGTGAAGAGGTACTGATACCACAATTTCACCCGTCCCTCTGCTATACCCTGATAATAGGGGCATGCTGTACAACGGAAGCAGGAGTTCTCCAATGCTCAAGGCGATCTCTGATCCTCCTGGAGATGTCTGGTATTATTCGAATACCTTCAAATGGGTGGAAACTGTGTTGGCATGGGTAAGACTTGATCCAGGTACAATAGCGTGAGGGGACTCGATCCAGATCGGCAGTGGCGCTT